TACACTGTTTTCCTATTGTAAATTTAATCTATAATGTATGCGACTTTAAACTCATCTCACTTTGTCCCTCCTGTTGTGGCAACGAAGACTGGCTTTGTGAGTCCTTAGTTGAGGTTCCTTGGCTGCCAGAGGCCTTTGACAGCATTTCTACATGTGTGTCTCCCTGGGCCAGTTTCTCCAACTCCTCTAGATGGACAAGACTCATATGTTCTACTAAGAGGTTCTTAGTGAGCAGGACTAATGAGCAGAGGGAACACACGAAGTTTGCAGTCTGATGGGAAAAAATCTTTGCTAATCAGTGGTGAGAGGGTAATACTGTATTCACAATGATAATACCAGTACAAAATTTAGTGATAATATGATGAATCTCAAATAGCATCAAGAGGTAATGCATCAACCTATAAAAGCAATAGTCTGAACATGAAACAGTTATTTAACCAAGTTACTTATTCCATATGAAGGGATGTAATTTCAGAAAAAACTGCATACTGACTTAATTAAGATCAATGAATAAGTACTAAGCAAGTCATGTATAAATAATTTTATAAGTGACCTAAAATGTTAATTTATAAAAATATTAATATTCTAGTTTATCTCATCTCTCCCTTAAAAATGGGAAACTTCAAATCTAACCCTCATCATAAACGACTTTTTTCTTTCATAACATAGACCAGTAAAACTTATCTTGAATCTGCAGTTGGGTAGCAAGAACATGACTCTTAATTACTCACTTGGTCTAATTTTATGAAAACATGAACAGTAGAATCAAACTAATAGAACTATAAAAATAATAGATATAAAATAAACAGATAATTAAATAGACAAATAAAAAAGAACCATTCCTTACCTGTCCCTGGAGGCGTGTATATGTTTCCTGGAGGCGAGTAGTGTGCTGGAGGACCATATGCTCAATAAACTGGTCTTCTGTCTGATAATTAAGACTGCAAACTGGGCATCTATAACATATAAATTAATATAAAAGAGTGGACAATGTGGCAGCAGCACAGGTAGTAAAAGTAGTGGCATAACATTAGCAATAACAATATGAACTTCATCAAAAGTCATTATAACACAACCTAAGTGGCATATATATCATCTTTCTTCAACACTGTAAATATTGTCAAATGCATTATTCAGTTGTATACTATGTGACCAGAAACATTTTGGTATTCAGATATTCTAATATACATTATACTTCACTTCACTCACCTGAACAAGGGTTGGTTGTCTGTTGATTTTCCATCAAGTATATTTCGCATATGCTCGAGGTCAGGTCCATGTTCAGTCATAACGTGATGTGCCAATGCTGCCTTGGTTATGAACATTTTCTGACAGAGGGCACATACCAGAGACCAGGCCTGAGGAGGCTTCTCTCTTCCTCTTACACCCTGGTTACAAGAAATTCTTTTTTGTTTAACAGTTCAGAACTTATCTAACTACATCATAAAAATCATGTATTAGTTTTGTCTCTCCCCTCAACACATAAAAATATCAGGGAGAAATTATGATATACAAGATGATGAACTGACAACAGTGTTGGGGTAAAGTGGAGGAGCACAAGCATGCAGAGCAGGTGAGGATACGGGAAGGAAAGAGGAAGTGGAGGATACAAAAAGAAAGAAATAAGACTGAAGAAAACAGTTAAAATGCTGGTCCAATTTACTCTTACCTTGGAATCCGCAACTAAGGCAGTAGGCTGTGGTTCCCCTTCTTGGCTAGCAGTTTCAAGGCTAAGTTGTACTGTGTGGGCTAGGCCAGTTGTGCTGCGGACTAATCCCTCATTGTCTGCCACTAAGAGGCCTTTGGAGGCTGGTACTGGAGGAGCTGAAACATTATCTTATTAATTTCTTTGCTTTGTTGATTAGTGTTGATATCTGTAAAATTAGGAGCAAATAAACTCATGTCTCCATCAAACTTACTCCCATCAAAAAGCTGGGCAGAATTTCTTGCTCCCACTCTTGAGGTAGTGTGACTCCCCCTTCCCGGTGGTCTCCCTCTTCTCCCTGGTCCTCTCCCTCTTCTAGCTGGGGCAGGGAGTGGGTCTGGGTCTGCAAAGGGGTCTTCTTGGGGTTCTGGCTCTTCCTCTTCCTCTTCAGCTCCACCAATCTCCTGTCTGGCTCCAGACAGATCATGGACAGACACTTTAGTACATTTCTTGATGTGGCTGCTGTACTGGCGCTCTTTGTTGAAGGTGCGATCACAGTCCTGTAGGGAATTATCAATAATGATGTATTTTGTTTTAATACCATTATGCAGATAACTTACTTATACTCACATATATGTAACTTATTTGACTAAAGGAATAATTCTTGCTTCAAGTTCAATACAATAATTTCTTGAAGATACAAGCAAGATAGCAATAACTTTATTGCAAGTTTGGAGAAAGGGACACTGGCAGAAAAACAAGATGATAAAATGGAATGATATTAAAATCATGGCTTATATTCAACCCAACCCAGACAGGTCATATGTACTGGTGTCATAACAAACCACTTGGTCTGCGGGGTACGCCTGTATGTGTGGCAACACACCAGAGCGCATGGAACGGGATGTTCGCTTGATGTTGCGGACTCCTGCACCCAGTATCTGGCTGTTGCCAGAAATTACCCGAGTTTATCACACTCAGAGATTTTTGTTCACCCAGCAGTGATGGTTTAATTAACTTTGAGGTAGGCTAATCCTTGGAGGATTCAGTGTACAAATCTTATTCATAAGTCTTCTCCTTCACATTGATCCTTAAACCTAAAAATTATGGTTCATTCTCTTACCAAGCTTTTCTATGCTATCCTCTTTGTTGATCAAAGGCATGTAATTAATAACATAATAGTGAATAATGTAAGTGTCTAGATGACCTGGAAAAATAGTTCCGTATATTATGAAGTTGAAGGTCGACTCTCACCTGACATCTGAATTGCACTGCTTGTTCCAGAGAGGGATCCAGATCAACTGTCTCCACCTTCCCTCGCTTGGCCGGTGTTGGTTCTGCCTCTTTCTCCTCATTTTTCCTCTGAGAAACATTGACTTATCAATGGATATAAAGGAGAATTCAACAGAGGAAAATAAAGTACATTCTTGAATCGTTTACGCACTCTTGATTACATGTTTGCAAAATAAAAGTATTCAGATAAAATATGTGAGTAAAGAATTCTTAAATTCCATATTTCATAAGTGAGGTAAAAACATTTCTTAGATGAAGGCAGTGTCAACACATCAAGTTTCCAATGACAAAAGATATAAAATAAATAAAAGGTTAATTAGTAATGTAAACAGACAATAACTCACGCCTGGTTAAAAATCAGAAGTACAGTTATACATTATTCTGAGTTTACATACGAAATCTAACTTTTAGGTTTATGTTTTGAGTGAAAGAAATATAGTCCTTCTTATGAAAGAGTAATTCCCAATCAAATGAGATAAAAACAACTTCATAATTCTTTTCTGAAAGAATGTGTAGCATTATCTATATTTTCTTTAAAACATTTATACATTCTCATGAGACAAATCTATATTATCTATATCTATAACATTTATACATTCTCATGTGACAAACACAAATAAATAATATTCATCTTCTACACATATGACAAAATATGAACAAAAAACATCAAATGATAAATATCATCAAGCTTCAGAAATTAAGCAAAATGAAATGGAGTGACATATGAGCACATTCAGTTACATGCAAAAATATATAAACGTTACTGAAAAATAATTAACAAGTTCACTAGCCAGTCAAGCTATTCCATACTTAACACTCAAAAAAGGAGTAAGACATGAGAGCGTCCGTTTCAAATACAAAGCGTTTCAAAGACCAAAGAATTCTCAAATTCAAAAATGGCAAATAAAAATTCAACAGACGAACCTTGACTGCAGAAGCTTTTTTGCCATACGGGCTATGGAAACACTTCAAAAAATGCTGGGAGATCTGAGGTTTTGTCTTGAACGTCATCTTGCAGAAAGAACACATGTATAAGGGAGCCTTTTCTACTTTCACCTCTTCCTTTTTACAACTTCGCATGTGCTTTCTGTTGGTCACAAAACAAGTAAAATAAAAAAGTGAAAATGAAAGAGAAGAGAGGAGAGGGAAGAAGTAGGATTTCCTTTCACTTTATGCTAAAGCCATTATTTTGCTTCTTCAAGCTTAAGATCTTACATAACAACAACATATTTCAGGCAAGATGATACAGATAAAGAAATGGGGTAGTGAAGAATAAGGTGATTTTTGTTCCTAGGTTGATTGGTTATTTCATCAGGGATAAAAGATGAAACAAAATAGAGCCATTAAAAACAGAAAATGGCAACTTTTCAATAGCCATTAAAACCTCTGTAGTCCTTTCCTTTTACGTTTTCATTAAGAATTGTCTGCAGTGTCCCCTATCATATCTGGTACTGTTTTTCAAGTTTCCTTCAACCTCTACCACAATATCAACCACCACCTAACTGAACACCCCCCCCCCCTCCTTGTAGGCCCTCCTCTGTCTCAGCCAATTAGGCTTTCCCGCCTCTAATTTCTTGTGAATGAATTGTATTAAGTGTGAAGAAGTAATTCTGGTGTTGTATAGCATATTTTATGCAGGTTGATCTTTTCCTTCTTCAATATTCCCCCTCTACACACAAAGATAACTTGTGGAATATCATTGTCTCTTTACTATTCATACATCTAGATACTTATAAGTACATCTATATACACATTATATAATTTTGAGCAAAGAAAACTGTTAAACTAAAATCACAGTGGACATGGCATTTATGTAATTCTATTCCTGCATCAATGAATTAATTCATATACAAGGAATAATTTTTATAACTCTATCAACTTTACTAACACTTGAATATGATATGGCAATGATATTTTTGGTCTATTAAACTGAGCCTCTCAAGTGCCTGGAACCTAAACTTGCATTGGTGAAAGTTGAGATTTTTTTTCTTTCTTTTTTTTGAGGTATGTAATGCTGAAGGGTAAAGGTTAAATGTTAAATATTCAATATCAATATCATTACTATTATTTGAAAAGTCACATGTATTTGACTGGTTTTGAGTATACCTTTGTCAGAAATACATGTAATCAGACACAGATATAACTGAAACCAGTCATATACATCTCTTGTACTGTGAAGATATTCATTGTCACTCATACCTCTTCTATAAGGTTAAAGACTGATAAACTGCCTGAATGATAGTAAGCTAAGATTGACTGATATTGGAAAGTGTTATTCACGATACATATTTGCATGCCCTCTTAAGAAACCAAATGCGGCTTTTTCGACTGAAATATGAATACAAGTTTTATTTACATTCCGTGTAAACAGTTATGCGTATTCTTTAGTAAAAAACAACAACTATTCCAAGACATTTTCTACTTTTTTTTTGTAGTGATGCTATCTCTTTTTAATGTGTTACTGTTTCTCTTTCTACCATCCCAAAAGCACCTACTGACCTGTAGCCATTAAAACCAAATTCAGATTTAAGAATAGCGAAGTTATTCTGTTTTATACTTTTAGCCAGAATATCTAACACATAAAACTGTGAGGGTGATGACTTGTACTTAGGATTCAATCAGTAGTGTTATATTCTATTAAAAGTTTTCTTGTTTCTTTTTGGGTATTTAAAGGAAATTTCAGAGCAAAATGGTGTTTATTCCAAGTGAGTTTAAAATGCATTTCTCCCATCTACTTCAAATTCAAGCAATTAACTCAGAAAGTCCAATGTGGAATACCTTATCTTGAGTATAAAACTCTTAGAGAAAGATTAGACTCATTGGGCATTTAGGAGGGGACTCTTGCATTATCTCCACTAGTAAATGAGGTTGGAAAGGACCATCTATTTTCATGTTCAGGAATCTGTTCCTGCACACCCTGACCAATAGTAAAATGTGTAATAAAAAATTTAACATTACAAAAATACCAAAACATAAATAACAGAACATTACTTATTGTTATTTTCCTTGAACCAAGTTGCAGATTACCTAGAATGATGATAAGGTGTTTATAGAAAACAGTCTAGTAACCTATTGATATAGCGTATCAAATGTCAAATATAGACCTTGGAAAATGGCAACCAAGCAAAAAAGGCTTATGCAGAAAAAGAAATAACACTATAAAGGGGAGGCAAGGAGTCCTAATACCATACACTAGTGATTGTATGCTGCAGCCCTACAAGCCACACACCTGGGAAGTAACAGGAATGAAGCAAGCTGATTCCTTGACAATGTAAGGTGTTTATTTGAATGTATCATCCTTTCTAAAATCTTATAATTTTTATACACATCTCTAAATGTGCCTTTAACTACAAGAATAATCGTTAGTGATGGGATGGTCCTGTATGTGTATTTCTTTTTTATTACTTTTCCTAAGAATTGTTCTAACAATATGGTAAATGTATGGTACATCAATAAATGTGCCTTCCAGGTTTTGATATAAATGACAGATTTCACAGAAACAAATTTATAAAATTCAAACTTTCACATTTCTACGATTCGCATTTAAAAATAAGTTTTTTTTTCTCTCAAAAAGATACTAAAAAGAAGAAAAAGTTCACAGATAATGTAAAAAAGAAGGAAAGAAAAAAACAAGGAAGAAAAAAATATAATAAAAAAAATAAAAGAAAGAAAGAAAAAGAAAAGAACAAAAAATGAAAGAAAGAAAAAAGAAAGGAAAAAAGGATAAGTGTACTTACCTCAAGTAGAGAGGCCGCATGAATTTACTATTGCATGTTGGACACTCATAAAACCTCTTGGCATCACTCCCTGATGCAAAGTCTTCCTCATAATTTCCTTGTGTTTGTGAAGTGTGGGTCACATACCTTGACTGTTTTTTCAAAGTTCCATCGGAAAGATTAATTTGTACATGCTTTCTCACTGGTTCGTTCTGGCCAACAGGCACAGTCAGACCCTTTGTATACTTAGTCGTTCCTTCAGGTATTATCACACGGAAGACACCACTTTGGGCCGCTGCCTCAACCTCTTCCTGGCTGGGAATCACCTGCTGTGCCGTCTGATTGGTGCCTGCACGGATGATGATGTGCTTTTTGTTTCCCACAGTGACAACCTGAGGCTGGCTCACAGCAACTGGGTTGCCACCCACTTGTATAAGGAAATGTCCGGCATTAGGCTTCACTGGGGATCCTTGATTAGTTTGTATCACTATTTTAGTTGGGGTTGTTGCTGGTGGAATACTATTTGAAATATCTGTCATGCTAGTTGCATCACTTCCTGTTCCTGTTATCATATTTGCTTGCTGGAGGGGCTGCTGGATCGTGTGCATGGGATCAGTGGTGATTGTGCTAGTTGTAACAATGATATTGTCATGGGGATGAGCAGCACCAGCTGAGGAGTGAAAGGTCTCATTCACCAGGTTCCTCAGGAGAATTTCTCCTTCCTGGTTATCTTCCAGAGTCCCTGTGCCCATGACATCCTCATGGACATTGGGCTGCTCCAGGCCAAGTATTGGCTGATTGTGAGCATACTGTCCATTTTCCAAGTCCTCCTCCTTCACTGAAACTGGATCTACAATGGCTTCTGTCACTGTGCCATGGTGGGGTGGATTCAAAACAGAGGCTCCAAACTCTGTGCCATCTCCCTCCTCCATCATGACTTGTGACCCTTCAATCATCACTTGGGAACTGACAACCTGAGGGGTTTCCATCACCACTTGTGTCCCATCCATCACCACGTCTTCTGACCCCTCCATCATCATTCCATTGTTCTCTATTACCACTTGTCCACCAAGCAACACAGGTGATGACATTGTTGTCTCCACCCTGCAGCGGAGATCTCCAGATACTGGGGTAGAGGTTCCCTCAACCTGAGAAATTTAGGTTTATAGTTAGAAATATTATTGATATCTAATTACCAAAAGGACTCCCATAGAGAGAGAGAGAGAGAGAGAGAGAGAGAGAGAGAGAGAGAGAGAGAGAGAGAGAGAGAGAGAGATGGAGAGAGAGAGAGAGAGAGAGAGAGAGAGAAAAGAGGCCAGGTACCTGGAATATGTCATCATGAGAATTTCAACTCCCCACACATGCACAAAACTCTTGGAGGAAGACTAGACTCTGTGGCTGTCTAGGAATGGGATCTTGTATTATTTTCATCAGTAAATGAATGCTGAAATTACCATCCCTGAGCCATGAGTGGAAGAGTATCAGCAACAGGGAGGACACTATTCCCTGCTTACCATGGCCTTCAGTGGAGGGTCAATTACATTTGGGGGGGGGGGGGGGGGTATTAACACTGCAAAGGGGAGGCAAGGAGTCTTGACACTGCACACAAGTGTTTGTGTGTTTGTTTGGGGTATGCTTATAAGTTACACAACCAGCAGAGTCCGAGTAAACCTAATACCTGGATTTTGGGCCATGTGCAGGCAGCGAGGCACCCAGATCCAATGGATTAGGGGGGGGGGGGGGTAAAGTGAAATTGAGTTCAGGCTAGTTTCATATATCTATACATTTAAAGAATTGTCCTGGCAAATATTAGCCTGCAAAATAATACTACATACTATTAGCCACTTGCAATCAAACATGTTTTACCTCTTTTAGGGACCAATAAATTTGAGAAAAGTGCTACATAATCAATTGAATCTTTTAGGTCTACATATTTTTCATCTCTTATACCATGTATGTATTAATGATGTATATAAAAAAGTTTGTCATCCTTGTATACACTCCAATGCAATACAGCTATAACCAATTTCAAATCTATTTTTCATCATTTTGAAGATAACTAATACAGATGTTCACAAAATCTCTTGATCAGTTTGATAGCTTATGCTTCCTTATTTTTATTTTCTCATATACTATGGAACAGGTGAAAAAGCACAAGACAATGTCTGAGCCTCAAAAATGACCAATGCTGACAAATACACAACATAAAAAAGGAAAATCTCTACGACATAACAGTCTTCAGAGCAATAGCCTGAAATTAGCTATCATTTGTAGATTTTACTGCAGACCAAAAGCCATATTTTTGTAATGAAAATACAGAAATGAAAATAAATACACAATATCAAGAAATTTTACATATGAAGTGGCATAAAGAAAAAGGAAATTTATATCACAGATATGACAGAAGATGAATATTTTTGCCTTTTCTCTGTACTGGATATGAAATAGATAAAGAAAAAGTAAAAATCCAATAATCAGAAATACCTCCAAATGCAATTCTCCAACAAGCGGCTAATCCCAATTCACCATGAAAGAAATCTGAATTAAAAGTGGTATTCCTTCTGAAAAGATCCATATCACTAATATTAACAAGTTTGGTATTCATTGATTGCTTGTGATGTTAAATTTCCTCTTATAGTACTATTAGTCCATAAAACTATCTAAAGCAATAACACTGAGTTCAATAACTCAGAAAGGTACATTGCATAACAATATCAACAAGCTACAGAGAATTAATTGACTGACAAATTCTGACATTTCAATCATAGGTTGAAAATAACCATACTTAACCTATTACCAATGGGCATGACATGTACGTACATGCCATGCACACTGTGAGTTTACTTGTTTAATTGTTTTTACGCATAGATAGCTACACGAGGCCAATTATGAGTACTGCCTGTCTCGCCCTTTTCATTGATTTACGAAAATATTTTACGTTATCTTCTTTTGCTGTTACTAATGTTTATAACATAATAGTAATTATAATGCTTACAATAAAAATAAAACCACGGATATGCATAGCACTAGCAAAGTTTTTCCTGCTAATTCAAGAAAAGACATTAGATAAGGTCCCAAGATCTACTAATCGACTCCTTTGTGGCTAAGCACTAGCAGATCCATCTATGTACAGACACATTTCACAAAAATATAAAAAATGAGCACAGCATTTTCCCAATCTTTTATTCATTTTCCCTGGCAGCAATGGGTTAATATATGAATGTTTCTTTGTACATTTCAAATAGGTAACAAAAATATTTGTGAAAGCTATTGGCTTCATAATACAAGGAACCACTGTAGTGATGCAAGTATCAACCCTCTGGTGAAATGATATCTCTTAATGTATTCTATAGACCATCCTGCTGATCTAATGCCAAGTAAGGAACAAATCCAACTCCATTTTTCTAGAATATATGTGGAGGTCATGGCAATCATTTGAGACGACTACTGTCAGCTATGTTATGAATACTATTTGTAATCTGTGACATAAGATAAATAAAAATGTCGGAATTTCCAGGGGATCCCTTCTTGTGATATTATTGGTGCCCCTGCAAAGTTGGCAAGACATAACCTTGAGAGGTTATAGCTAGGGATAAATTTTCCACTGCTTTCTGCAATCTATTTGCAAAAGCCAGCAAATCCCCACTGCATATATTCAGTTCATTACATTAGACAGCATATTGGGGAGGCTTGCAAGCTCTATCTTACTGCAATATACCTGTTATTATTATTATTATTATTATTTTTTTTTTAAGCAAAAAAAAAAAAAAAAAAGAAAAAAAAAAAAGAAGAAAAAAAAAAGAAGAAAAAAAAAGAAGAAAAGAAAAAAAGAAGAAAAGAAAAAAAAGAAAAAGAAAGAAAAAAAAATTAATAAAATAATAATAACAATAATATATATGCTCCACTGAAAATAACGAACATTGTATGACATTGTGAAAAGTACGTTTCTAAAAAAGATGGTGGAGAAAAAGCAGTTTTTAATTTCACTTTCAAGCAACAGAAAGGTTATTTTGTCAGTAAACCTTTGCTTGGTCAAGTATTTCTAAAAGAAATACTTGTTTTACCAAGATCCAAGAATCTATATTCTCTTATTGCAGCTGTAGTGAATGCTAAGCATTTGTATTTCTAATAAATGGCTAACAACTGTTTTCTATTCCTTTTCGGTGTACATAGCTTGTGAAGTCACAGCCACTCATTAAATACAATGTACTAATAATGTAATTTTGTATTTTAATTCATATAAAATCATACTGAGATGCTTATTTATCAAATCTTCATTCTTTAAATATATGATGTGATCTATTCTATTATACATGCACCATATTTTTTTTAGAAATACATCTGTACTTGTGCATGCGCAGCCGTCTCCCTGCAAATTTGACAGTTCTGTTGTCATAGTACTCATTGCTCATTCAAAAGGTGTTTACAGTGCTACTTGAGTTCCCATATCCTTTAACAATTTTCTAGTGAAAATGATCTCTTACTAATGATTAGGATAACACTAAATTGAAAAACATTAACTTCGTTCCAGCTACAGATCTTTGTTGGAGGTTTGTCAAATCCCAGCCACCCTCACTTCAACCATAAGGTAAACCCAATTTGTACCTATAAATGCACAGTCAATGGTGATCAGGATGGGGCCTGGGGTGGAGCCCCAGAAATACAGTAACTGGAAAGGGGACCAAGGGCAGAGCCCTGATAGGAAAATACAGCAACCAGAGGGGGTTTGAGGATAGAGCCCCAATAAGGAATCTTGTCTCCAGTTTTCTATCTTCGAGTTTCTTTATCATAAGAAATGACATTTTTTGTTTGGATTTTATAATTTTCCACTTTTTGCTCTTTAAAATGCCTGCTACAAGCAAAATCACCCCAGCTCCCAATTCCCCTCAGGATTCCCCAAATTATTGGCTGACATTGTCGACTTGGTCTCTTACGGTTGCAGTTCCGTTGTAAAACTTTCCCATCATTTGATGATGTGTTCATATTATCACTTCTAATATCAATGATCAATATGGATTGTAGGCCCTTTGCTGGAGTACTGGCAGATATTGAGGTCACAGTGGTTGCCTGACATCATCATTATTGAGTATATCACTCATAACATTAAATTAACACCTTGCAATTTGTGACAGATGTGTCATGGACAATGTGTCTTGGAATTGGCCAATCTATGAATTCCACGTCCTGGTTGCCTTGTACTCTATGCTCATCGACAGCCTAAAATCTATCCCGTTTTTGACAGCCACGGGAGCCAAGGCTGACGGAAGCCAATGCCGACGGACTGACTGTCATAGTGTGCATCGTCATATCTCTTGGAAACCTCTGAACGGCAATATGGATTGGGACTAAAGGGTGATACAAGCCATATTTCTCATTTTATTTATCAACACTGGAACCACTCCAGGCAAGTTAACTGAACACCTCTGGACCGTCGGCAGACTTCCTCATAACGCCCAAGAAATGACGCAAAATGCACCCATTTCAACTTATAAAACTTTGCAATGAAAATCCTATAATGAGCGACTGAAACGCCCCAGGAAAACAGAGGAGAAGCGGCTTCCCAGAGGCGCCAGGGAGCGAAACCCCGATCGCGTTCGAGCCTCCCGCCGCCGCCCGCGCCGCCGACCTTCTGCGCCTCCAACGCCACAGCCAAGACATGTCGATATTTTAAACGCCATCTTCCCTCTTTCCCGCGCGCTTCCACCTAATGTCTCGCTCATTTCGCTATCTTGGAAATACGAGGATTTTTCCCACAGCAAGGACAACGGCCAAACCTCACTAGCGCCGTGGGAAGGATCCATTATTGGGCCCAAATTCGGCCTCTTCCCGCTTCATGTCGAGGAACA